AAACTGCCTTCTTACAGTCTCTCCAGTTCACTCAAGCCTTTGAATTCGCTAACTCCATAGACTGAAGAGACATTACACAGCTTAAACAAAGGAAAATGCATCCTCTGGACAGGAACAGATGTCAGTTTAGGTGAGGAGATGCTGAGAGAACACAGTGGTGGTAATAAATGAAGTTATTAGCATTTAATAAATGTCAGATAACTTTCATAGCTAAATAAAGATTATAAAATGATAATCTTTAATATCAGAGTTTGCATTGAGTAGCTAATACTTCTAAATCTGCTCCCCAACAATTAATTGATCTTTTATATTTTAGAGTCTTGAAATTCCCTTAATATGGAATTAGGCCACCAGTTCTGTGATTCCAGATAACCAATAAATTCTAGAATTTTTTTTTGCACGTGTTCCAGAACTCCATAGGTGTGCTGTGTTCCTTATTACTTTTTCTTAAAAGGCAGTTGTTTTTATATCATTGCTTTTTATTTTGACAGCGTGAGCTACTCTTTTAGGGAAATTGCTGAGCACTGTTTGGAACTCATGCAAATTTATATTCTCAGCATTCTAAGATGATGTGTGTACTGGATAGCTGTAGCAGAGATTGTTTACTAGGAACCCGTCCAAAGAATTGTTGACAACTGAGTGGCTGAAGGTTCCGTGGCCAAAGTCAAATCCAACAATGCTGTTTATTTGCTTTCTGCCAATTGTTGGGCCATATCCCCCCATGGCCCTAACAATCCAAAAGAGAGTACTGCCAAACTATTGGCCAGCTTTCAGAACAGATAACCTTTTTCTTGCCCTGTAAGTAACGATGCTCAATGATATCCATGCAAGTCAGGCTTCCTCTGGGATCAGAGGTTTAGGGTCATGAAGGAGATGTTCGCAAAAGGAATGGATGATATCAACTATTGTTGGGAACAACACAATTTTTTAGTAATTGAACACAAACACAGCAAGAAAATGATCCTAAGGGACTGGGCTCTCTGTTGCACATCTGCCCTCAGAGCAGTTGTCCTGTACCCAGCACACTGCTGCCGTCTCTCACTTGGCACCTCAATCCCAGCTAACCAGCAGTGTTATTTTTGTCAGGTGTGGAGTGATTGTCTCTGTCTGCTGATGAGCTGCCTGGTCCAATAATTATCCAAATCCAGTCTCTGGCCATGTTTTCAAGGGGAGAGTTCTGACAGCAGACGTGCTTGCCGCTTTGACCACGCCTTTCTAGTACCTCCATGAAGTTCCCAAGGCTCTCTTTCCGTGCAACAAGAACATTTGTCTTATTGTGAATGTACATTTGGAGGGAGTGTTTTATGGTTTTTTTTCCTTATTAACTTAGATTACAGTTTCATCATTTATAAACCTATTATAAAGCTGAATGCGGAGCCACCAGAAAGAACAGCTTGAGAGAGGAAACTTTCTGCCTCTGAGTAAGAGCTGTGGGCGATTGCCCGCCTCAAGAATCACAATTATGGTCCAGCTTCTCTTGCCCCTCCTGATGTCCCCCCGTCAATACAGTTCATTTTGGTGAACTGTTTGGGGGTTTTGTTTGTTTGCTTGCATGCTTGCTTTGTTTCGTTTTCATAATTTATTCGTTCTAACCTAAACTTAAAGTGTTCTGCAGGATAATTCAGTAATGAGGGAAGACTGCTGTTCCAAACACCCAAGTAGCTGAAGTAATATTTCAATGTCCCCAAAGACACAAAGCATTCATGGGACACCAGCACCTCGGCGCCTCTCTCTGTCTCCTGTTCTCAGTCCTCCAACCCCAGCCCAACACCTTCTGGAAGCAGGGCTGATACACCTACATGTTTCTCCTCTTCCTGCAAATGTCCATATTTATCAGTAATTTATAAAGCGTATCCCCAGGGGCTAGGTATGTGGCTCGGTGGTAACTGGCTTTCTAGCCTGCCTGGGGCCCAGGAGGTCTCTGCGCTTCACTGACAAGCAGGCAGCCCTCGGAGCTCCATTCAGAGCCTCTGGTCATGCTCCCTTTCACTCAAAGGGAAGCCAAGAGAGTAGGCAAGGACTTTCCTATGGTACCCCCAAAAGAAAATGAAAACGTATACTATCATAAAAGACTTCCAAAGAAGTGCAACAACCTGTTTAAAGACTTTAGCTGCATGTGGGGGGAGGGGCAAAGGATATATAAGCCGAGAACACCAAGAGGCACCTCTCTCACAATTTTGTGCGCTGTCAGGTCACCGGATCTATATTTGAGTGTGGACATCACGGTGCAGCCGTAAATGTGGGGCACCCACTCTTCTGTAAATAAACCACTACCCTATGCTCTGTTAAAAGAATAAAATACAATATAAATATTGTATT